CCAGGAGACTCAGCCAATGGGAGGCGGCGTTGTTGGCGGCCACGGCGGCGCACTCCCGGAGCGAGCGAAACCCAGACGGCCGCCGCCACTGCCGCAGGAGGCGTGAGGTGCGGACGCGAGGTTCGGCCGGGTAATGGTGGTAGTGGCGGCCGGCGGGGCGGGGACCGGGGCCGGGGCCGGGGCGGTGGGAGCCGCGGAGGAGGCCCGGGGCCGCCATCTCGGGAGGCCGGGGCGGCAGGGGCGGGGCCGGGCCCGGAGCGCCCGGAGCGGCGGCGGGGAGCGAGCGGGCGACGCGGGTGCGACCGGGGCACGCGGGGAGCCGGGCGGGGCCGGGCGGCGGCGGCGGCAGGTGTCGCGCCCCGCTCCTCCCGCGGCGGCCTGAAGGTCAGGAGAGCTTTGTTCCCGCGCGGCTCCCGACCGCGGGCCCCGCGGCGTCCCCGGGAAGGTTAAGGCCACGGGTCGGGCCGCGAGGACCCGGGCGAACGCGGAGCCGCCCAGGGGCCTTTTGTTTTCGGAACCGGAGCCTTCCCAGGGCTGAGTGACCGTTAGCCGCGGCTGCAGCGGGCTCCGGTCCCGCGTCCGACGGGTGGGTGAGGCTGCAGCGTGTGCCGGGGAGACACCAGGACCTTACACGGTCCTGGGTGTTGTCGGGGACGGGCGGCGACGTGCGCTCGCAGCCGTTAACGGACGCGCCGGGAGCCGGACGGGCCCGGCGTGCCCGGCAGGGTGGCCGCCGAGTCTGCGCTACTTTACTGCTTAACGTCATCCTGCGGACGGGGAAGTGGGGCCGTCCGAGAAGTCCGTGAGCGTCACGGATGGGACGTTGCCTTGCGCGTCTTAGTCCGGAGGTGGTGACAGCAGTCACATCGGTGTGTTTGTACCGGACTGCTGGGCCACTCCCCCGCCCACCCCCTCGATCCTGTGTTTTCCGAATGCTTTCTGTTATGATCAGACTTCCCGCCGTCCGCAGTTATCCCCGGTCTGTCTAAGCCGAGTCCTGCGAGAAGCGTTTGGGCCCCGGAGAAGGCCGTGTCGGGTTCCTGGCGGGGATGCTGCTGCACTCACCTGCCAGCAGGGCTTTGGTTCACATGCCCCCTCTGTTTTACTTGCATGTCGCTGTAAAGTATAAAAATAGGCTTGTGAAAATTCTCAGAGTGAGTTGTTGAACTTAAAAGTTGTCTTTTCAAAAGTTACTGCCTTCCTGTAAAAGTAACTATCTCCAAGTGATTAATAGCTGTCCTGCACACCAGGGACTCCGATAATCTCTGCCTGCGTTGACTCATTTCATAATAGTCTAATAACTTACGCGATAAGCACTGTTGTTTTCCCGTTTAACCACTCAGGAAGCTTGAGGCCCTGGAAGATTAATCCATAACTTGGATTAAAATGCAGGCAGTTTTAATTTTGCCCAGCTTTACTGTTTCTGTAGAAGAGATGAGAAGTTTTAATAAGAAATTGTTTTTATTATTGCGCTGAGCCTCACTGAAGTCTAGTTTTTGAGCATCATTGATGCTGGTTGATCATTTCCAGCTCAGAATTCTGTGATTCCACAGAATGCTAAATGCTTCCCATAGTAGAATCTGGAAATGATTTCAGACGGTGATTAACAATAGCTAGAGGGATAAATGATATGCAAATGTAAAATGAACTTCTGAGAAAGAAAGGTGGTGATAGAGTAGGGATATATTTAAAAGGTTAAATGAGTGACAAAAGTAGAGGGAGATGGCTTAAAAATTAGCGTTATCTATTAGTGGTTAACTTGTTAAGAGTTGACAGGAAAAAGAAACCCCAGAAAATGAATTTTCTCAGTTTATTAGCTGCCTTTTTTTTTTGTTTTGTGACAAGGAAAGTTTTTTCTTTCATGTTTTGAAGGTAAAGTATTCTATTCTGAGATTTGGAAGGATTGAAGATAAGACTTTTGGTCAATAAAAATACCATTACAAAACTTAATTTCTTATAGAATTATAGTGACAAAGGGGATTCGTTTTATAGATAAAGTAGGTATAGGAATTGTGACCTTTTCAAGTTTACTTAGGAACACTTTCACTAGAAGTTTGAGGCCTCTTCTCGTGGTATGATGAGAGTAATTATTCTCAAAATAATTATAATTATATAAATAATTCCAACGCTGTAGTGCTGTCTTAAATACCTGTTATTACACATACATTTACAGTCTTTTTTTCCCCCTGGTTGACCCGTGTTACTAATTCAGAATGTCTGCGGTTATTTGTGCCTCTGTATTATAAAATAACGTATAAATGCTTTTGTGACTTTTGCATTACTTTTGAAAATACTGTATAGAATAGAGATTGGAGAAATTGATTGAATTCTTTGCAGTAGCTGATTTTATCACTTGGTTTGATAACCTCAGTAAACTGAATTCTGGAAAGGATACATGTGCTTTAGGGTTGTGTCCTCTAAAAGTGTACAGACATTGTAGCTTTGTGAATTGACCATTTAGATTATCGGACCCTTCTACGATATTCTGAGTTGGGAGGTTTTAACCTGTGTAAGATAGTTCAAAAGCTTTTAGAAATTGCGTGCTTGGAGTTGGGATGTGTTCATCAGTATGTGACAGTCTGAATTCGTACTTGAATCTTTAGTTAGAATATTTCCGTTAACCTGTCAGGATTTTTACCAGCCTCTTGATATCGAGAGCATATTAATTCCCTGTATCTGCAGTTCTCTGACCAGCTAGGGTTCAGAGTGAAATCTTTTCCTTTTTTCTTTGAGCAGTTGATAGTCTTCTAGCATCAGGAGGAGGTGACCTCAAATGTAAATGCGTACATGGGGTAACGAATTACTTATTTTCAGGGTGGCTTTTCTTTTCTTGTTCATTGTCCACAGTTTTAAAGTGGTTTAAAACTGTTCTGGTAAGCTCATGTTGTACTTCCAAAAGTTTTATTGGAGAACCCAGGGGGTTTTTTGGTTTGTTTTTTGTGGTTTTTTTTTTTTTTTTTTTTTTGATAAATAGTAGCTGTAGGCCGAGGGTGGTTTAAATTCCCAAAGCCCTAAGGGCCACCAACCAGTATGAAACAGGGAAGAACCATTACTGCTCAGAACCAGTGTTCCCAGTGATGGCACTTTGAATAATCAAGGCAGCATTGAGGAGCGTGTTGGGAGGTTGGTCTGGGATTGCTGCCTAAGGAGTGCTGTTTTGTTTTCTAGAGGTAAAGGTGTTTAGGCATCCAAAGTAAAAGGCTCATATTACTTAGTTTTTGACTAGTCTGCCACTGGGATGATTTCAGAAGTAGAAAGTAGCTGGTGCGGAATTATTGCAGGAAATTGCTCTCCTCCAGCCTTAGCTTAATTTGCACAATTTCTCCTAGTTCAGTGAGTACTTGCCTTCCTAAACTGCAGTTGTGAGATTTTTCCTTGAGCACAACCCTTATTAATGGGTAGTGAAGAATTTTATGTTTGACTGTTACGGAATTTTCAAAACAGACGACGTAGGTTTGTTTTTGTTTGACAGCCATTGGTTTTCTACCCTGCCCTCTTCAGAGAAAGCAGGGCTGCTTTACACTGTTTGCCATTGAATTTTAAATTTCATGAGTATTTAGTAACAGGAGAGGCAGTGTATTTCTGTAGTAAGAAAACTACAAAAGATCACTTAATGAACTTTACCTTTTGATCTTGGCCACTCACTGTGTAGCCTTGAAATTTTCCTCTTAAAAGTGTACTGTCAGCTGTTATTAAAGGTGCTTCCATTCTGGGTCTGTGGGACTTTTTTTTTTTTTTTAGTGTATGTACTGTGCATTTTATTATTATCCCAAAAAGCCTGTTCAAAAACAAGAGAAGATGATTTCTGTGTCATAGTTGTATGGTGTGGTAGAAAGATCGACTATACAATTTAAATACGTGCAAAGGGTGTAAGTATTGTAATTTAAAACGTTACTTGTTTATCCAGTTATCCATAGTAGCTTTCAGTGCTTGGCATCTGTTCATCCACGAATGCCTTCTCTCTGCTAGGCACAGTTCTAGGTACTGGGGTATTTTATTGCACTGAACAAAACAGACAAAAGACCTTGCCCTCAAGTATTTCCACAGTGGGAGACAAACAAGTTAGACAGTGGTAGGTGCTTTTGAAAACAAAAGTAGAGAGAAGGAATAGGGATTTGGGTTTTAAATAGGGTGGAGAGGGTAAAGCCTTACTGACAAGGTGACAAGACCTTGGATTAAGAAAAACCTTCAAATATTTGACTCATTCAGTCATATACTAACGAATTGCGGACAAGAGAGTGGAGGAGGAAATTGGAGCTATAACGATGAAGAACCAGTGTGCCTTGAGTAAAAATAGACTGTTTTGGTTAAAGAAGGGAAACTTTTTTACTTTCTTCCTGAAAACTGAGGGCTTGGTCTCTAGCAAGCTTCTGAAAAAACAGTCCACCGTTGTCTCATGGCCATTCGATCTTCTAAGCAGATGTGACTTCCTGTGTGTCTTCCGAACCTTCTTAGGAGCGGCTAAGGTGTGCCTAGGGTCCCTGACACCACCATGCTGTATACAGGTGACACACGAGCAGATCGTCACTCAGCAGCGGTGAGAGAATGGGTGAAGCAGATTGCTTGGCCACTGTCTCCTGCCTAGTCCTGTGCTAGGCCCAGGGACTGCTGCCTTGAGCAAGTAGATAGATCTCTGCCTTCATGGAACTTACTCTTCAGTGGGAGGCCAGAGATGGATCATTCATCCATTCTTTTTTCAAAAACATGACAATAAAAAGTTTCAAACATATGTAGAAGTAGTGATTCCCCCATATGTACCTAACATTTAGCAGCAATAATTAACTATTTGCCACTTTAGTTCATCTGTAAACATGTAATATATGTGATTTTTAAAATAGATTTTTCGATCATGGCAAAAGAAAAAGTGCATATGTATTAGATTATCAATCATTACACGTGATTGAAATCAGAACATAATTCTAAGACCACTGGTTTGAGTTTAGAATCTGGACACTTTTTTTTTTTTTTTTTTTAACTTTTGAGAGGTTACAAGTATATTGAAGGGTTTGTTGATTTACAAGGACATTTTCCATTATTTCAGCTATTTACATAAGTTATCTGGTTGTTTATTTTAGATGTTTTGACTTACCTGCTGGCATATTGAATCCAACGCAGTTAACTCCCAGTACTAAGGAATGCAGTGACAGAGACTGGATAAAGAATCTCCTGATGAGGGCTTTGTATAGTGGCCAGGTTTTGTGGGTAGAGACATTGGGATGTCCTGTGGGGATACCCTGATTCCTTCTTAGAGCAGATGAATGGCTTCTTTGTCCTTTCTGATGTGTCCTAAGCCAAAGTATGGTCTAGTACTCCTGGAGGATTTGGACCTGTACCCTGGGACTGATCAGACTCCACGATGGGATCGCCAGCCCTCAGACTTTTATGTGAACCAAGTGATTATGCTGTGGGGTACATTTAACTGCCACCCTAATTTAATAATTATTATAGACTATATTGAAATTCTAAAGTCTTAACAGAAACATGTTGATCACATTTAAATTAATTTTAATCATCTCATGGGAAGATATGGAGGACCTCTGACTTAAGACAGCTAATAAATGTATTAAAATTTTTGGTTATGTGAAGGGCGACCATGTTCCCCAATTTACACCTTCTTTGTCTCTTGAGAGTGGCCCAATTTGAAATTATAGGATTACTCTCTAACTGTAGGCTAAATGTTTTCAGTTAAAAATTAAGAATTTAAAGTTATATTGGATAACTTGCTACAAAAATAAATTTTTTTTCCCCTAGGAAAATTTTTTTTGTTTGGGGTAAAAATAATCCATAAATCGGATTGTGAGGTAGCTTATATAAATAAAAGCAAAACATTCATTTGTGTAATCATGCAAATTTGCATGTCAATCCAGATTTAGAATTATAGGCTCAAAGTTTTTGACCCTGGAAGGGAAACTGAACAGCTGTATTCTTTTGAAATTTTAGAATGTTCTTTTGCCTGGTATTCCTTTCATATTTCAACTTGATTGCCTTTTAGAAGTAAGAGACCCTTTTGATGAGGCTTGGGACTGTGGTTTCATAAAATTAATATGAAACGTAGTATGCCACCATTTAAAACAAATGGATGGTTATATTTCTCACACTTGCAAATTTGGTAATTCCTTATAATTTTCTATTTTAAGAAAGTTTTGTTTGATAGTGATTGCTAAACAAAAGCGAATAAATTGTGGCGTGAAACTTGAGTAACTGAACTCCAGCTTGTTTGTGATGTGTCACCACTCTACATTATTTTTTCTTAGATAAGGGTAGCAATGTTTAAACTAACTCGATTTGTTGGTTTCATATCAAGCAATAGATAGGATGATTTGTAAGCGGTTATAAAAGTGGAGAGAGACCTGGAGTAGATCGTGTACTGGGCACTTCCTGTGTTTAATTCCGTCTTCGCAGCAGCCTCTCAGGTAGGTCCCTTCTAGTTTATGGATGTTGAAACCGAGGTTACACAGCTAGGAGATGATGGAGATGGGATTCAAACCCGGATCAAAACCATATTGTTTATAGTGTGTGTGCTTTGCTTTAAACATTGAGTTCTGGGTTTGTGTTGTTGTTTTGACCTCAGAGTATTTTCTTTTCTATTGTTTAAACTCATTATTTTGTTTGTTTTTCTTTCCTTGATTTAGCTCCTTTTGGGGGTGGAGAGAATGTTCTGTTGCGTTTAACTTAATTGCTTTGTCATCATGTCACCGAAAATAGGATCATTGTATCCATGGGATCTTTTAAATTGGAGTGGTGTCATTCTGTGGGAAAGTGAACCTCTTTGGCCTCTATTCTGCAATAGAGTGTTTATTCGTTCACCAGGTATTTATTATGTCAGAGGCTGTTTCGGTCCCAGAGACTACTACATAGTGAACAGGATAGAAGGAGTGGTTGCACACTCTACTTCTAGACAGTGGGTTTCTTGGGAATGCTGCTGAACTGCAGGATCCTGACCCTGACTGAGCTGTTGATGGTCATCTATTCCAACAACAGCAACAGTAATTTTGAATTGAGCAGGTGGAAGTGGCGGCAGGAAGTGAAGTGGTTGGTGGGGGTAGGGAAAGGTCAAGAGGGTCTGGATCTGAAATGTGAAAGGATTTTAATCTAAAATGGAACCAAAGGGTATGAACGGGTAGCTCTCATGCATGCATCCTCAGGAAAATGAAAGTTGAAGACTGTGAGACTGATTTCCCAAAATTGCCTGCTTTACAGAAGATTGAGACTTATCCTATAACCGGTGAGTGTCTTCCAAGAATCTCTCTCCATCTTCAAGTCAGTGAACTTGGCGTGGCTCCTAACTGGGTTTTCCCCTTTTGCACTCTTTGCGTGTAAAAGCAACCTGCCCTAAACCTTCAGGCTTACCTGTCGCTCACTGCAGTTTAACGTGTCCCAAATGGCAGTTCTTCTGCTATTCCCAAATAAACTCGGTTTCTGGTAACTTGAGCTTGCCTCAGTTTACCTCCTTTCTTTTAGGTTGCCATTACATGGTGTCAGAAGTGGGATCCAAAGGAGATACCCACCAAGGAGCGGCAACCCCCAGAGTTGAGCAGGGTACCCACACTTGAGCCCTTTGTGCTCTTCATTTTCACAAGTTGCCGTAACTTGGTTAGGCAAGTCTCCTCTTGGATCTCAAGCTCCCTCGTTTCGGTTGAGCGCTCTGGCTTTATTTGGGATCTGGATAGGGACAGACTGTCCTTCTGGCGAGTACTCTTTTGTTCTGAATCCAACAATGGGATACCAGTCATCTAAATGTTTTAGAGGTGGCTCCCTTCGGGAACTCTGATGTGTTTTTGTTTGTTTGTCTGTTTTAAATATTTATTTATTTACTTGGTTGTACTGGGACTTAGTTGCGGCAGGCGGGCTCCTTATTTGTGGCATGTGAACTCTTAGTTGTGGCATGCATGTGGGATCTAGTTCCCTGAGAAGGGATCGAACCTGGGCCCCCTGCATTGGGAGCACGGAGTTTTAAACACTGCACCACCAGGGGAGTCCCTCTGAGGTGTTTTTTAATTAATTAATTAATTTTGGGCTGCATTGGGTCTTCGTTGCTGCGCGCGGGCTTTCTCTAGTTGCGGTGAGCGGGGGCTACCCTTCACTGCAATGTGGTGGCTTCTCTTGTTACAGAGCACGGGCTCTAGGGCGCGCGGGCTTCAGTAGAGGTGGCGTGTGGGCTCGGTAGTTGGGGCTCGCAGGCTCTAGAGTGCAGGCTCAGTAGTTGTGGCACTCGGGCTTAGTTGCTCTACGGCATGTGGGATCTTCCCGGACCAGGGATCGAACCCGTATCCCCTGTGTTGGCAGGTGGACTCTTAACCATTGCGCCACCAGGGAAGTCCCACCTGATGTGTTTTATTATGATCTTTCCTCATAGACATTTTTGACTAAATGGACCAGTCTTACTAAGGATAACTTAGAACTTCAGTGGCCGTTACAAGGAACATTTTATGTCCCCAAACTTGTTTTTCTCCGAACCAAGTTAGAAGACCATGGTTACCAGATTAAACCATCCACATAGGGTAGTTATTTTAATTGTTATCTGGAGGCTTCTAAATGGGTTCAGGATTATAAAATTGCCTCCTTACCAAATACTGTTTCCAAATTGAAGCAAATAAGCAGCTAAAGGTGGATTTTTAAAATGTCACTGGCCTCTTTCTTGGTGTGAGCTGAGGTCCCTCCTACCCTTACTGCTCCATCTCCTTTGTACCTCTATCTTTGCTGCCTCCTTATCCCTCCCCTCTCTCTGAACTTCCTTTCTGTCCTGTCACTGAACCCTCACCTGCCAAGCCCACTAAAACTTCCCTTTCAAAATTAGACCTTCTGAGCATCCTGCTGAACCGTAGCAAACTTCCTGTACCCCATGGGCAAAGGTCAAGCTTAGGGCTAGGGACTGCCCTGGTGGTCCAGTGGTTAAGACTTCACCTTCATGCAGTGGGGGCACGAGTTCTACCCCTGGTCGGCGAGCTAAGATCCTACATGCCTCGTGGCCAGAAAACCAAAAAGCATAAGACAGGAGCAGTATTGTAGCAAATTCAGTAAGGACTTTAAAAATGGTCCACATCAAGGATATCTTTAAAAAAAAAAGGGCTTAGGGTTATAAGGACTTTCCCAAGGTAACATGGATCCTCATAGATTTGGTGAGGAATTCAGTATCGTAACCCTGATTTACCAGCTTGGTCCCTCCAGTCTCTATCAAACAGTCCACATGCTTGTCTAAAATAAGTCAAGCCCAGCACTGGACTAAAACAACCAGTTGAGAAAACCCTTAACCATCTCTTAGGCTCCCTCCCCCCGCAATTTAAATTTTGATTTATTTATTTTTAATTAATTAATTAATTTTGGGCTGTGTTGGGTCTTCGTTGCTGTGAGCGGGGGCTGCTCTTCGTTGTGGTGTGCGGGCTTTTCATTGCGGTGGCTTCTCTTGTTACAGAGCGCGGGCTTCAGTAGTTGCAGCATGCAGGCTCAGTAGTTGTGGCGCACGGGCTTAGTTGCTCCGTGGCACGTGGGATCTTCCCAGACCAGGGATCGAACCCGAGTCCCCTGCATTAGCAGGCGGATTCTTTTTTTTTTTTAATTTATTTTTGGCTGTGTGGGGTCTCCCTTGAAGTGCGTGGGCTTCTCATTGCGGTGGCTTCTCTTGTTGCAGAGCACGCCTCTAGGCGCGCGGCCTTCGGTAGTTGTGGCACGCGGGCTTCAGTAGTTGTGGCTCGCGGGCTCTGGAGCACAGGCTCAGTAGTTGTGGTGCACGGGCTTAGTTGCTCCACGGCATGTGGGATCTTCCCAGACCAGGGCTCGAACCTGTGTCCCCTGCATTGGCAGGCAGATTCCCAACCACTGTGCCACCAGGGAAGTCCGATCTCTTAGGCTTAAACGAAACCAACCACCAGCCCTTTTATGTGATCAGGCTGGCATTACAGCCAAAAGCCTGCATGAAGCCATCCCTAGAGTCTTCCCCAAGTCCATGGACTGGAACAAGATTCAGGCATGCACCCAAAAGCCTGCTGTATCTGTCCATAACTGTTACAGCAGGCTCCAGATTGTTTTCAAGGAAAATTTCAGGCTTCCCACCGATGCCGAATCCACCCAGGTGGCTTTTAATTCCACGTTTGTATATGATCTAACCAAGGACTTACCCTGTTAGTCAAAAGAACCTGTAAAGAATGGGAAACAGCGTCTACCCTGATCTTGTCACTTTGGCCACTCAATTGGCTCGTACCCCAGAAGATGACACCAAAAGAAAGGCAACTCCCGCAGATGAAGACTCAAAGCAAATCTGGCCGTTGGAAAAAGGATTGCTATAAATTGAAATCCAAACACTTGCAACCCTCCAAGAACCGACAGCCAAACCCACCCCAAGGATGTGACTCAGAGGACACACAGGGACTGTTCCCTGTCCGTCCATTAAATAGCCTGGGGAAGACTCTTACCCAGATCAGAGACAAGTTCCTTATAGTATTAATTGGCACAGGGGCTGCTCTGTCAGCGCCCAACCTAACTACAGCGAAACAGTTCCTTCCTCACAGTATTACATACGTTCCAATAGTGGGGACCTCACGCTGCAACATGTCCCTGTTTCCCAGCCCATACCTTTTTGTCTGGGGCCTTTGCAAAACAAACACCCATTTCTCCTCAGCAGTGTGGCTCCTATACATGTATTAGGATGAGATTTCCTGGAGAAATAGCATGCTGCCACTTTTTCCCTCAAGAGGGAGTATTCCTTCAGTTCAAATCAACACTTAGGAAGATTAAACCCCTTTTTGCCTTTATTACATTGCAAAGCTAAGAAAACCGAGCTTTGGACTTACCCCACTATTAACCAGGTACCCCTCCCCCCCACTCTTTGGACAGAATCCTCAACAGACATAGGCAGAATTCATAGTGCCTCTCCTATTAAGACGTACAATACCCTATAAATAAAGAAGTCTTCCAGGACATAAGTTCTATCATAGAAGACTGTAAGGCCGAAGGACTCTTTGTCCCTTGCACTAGTCTTTGTAATAGCCCTGTCTTACCTGTAAAAAACCCAGCAGCCAAGGAGGGAGATTTGTGCAGGACCTTTGGCAATAAACAGCATTGTAATTCCTTGCCACCCTGTCACCTGTAATCCCCACGTGCTGTCAGTGTTCATCTCTACTGGAAGCAACTTTTTCACTGTGGTCGACTTAGGCAGTATGTTTTTTTAGTATTCCTGTTGATAAAGAGTCAATATCTTTTTGCCTTTACCTGGGAAGGACAACAATATACCTGGACAGTCATGCGTCAGGGCTTTACTGAGGTTCCTCTTCTGACAGATTTTAAAGGCTGACTTAAATGACGTAGAATTCTCTGGAGGCACCACCTTACTGTAATATGTAGATGATTTGCTTCTTTGCTCGCCCTCCCAAAATTTCCACAAAGACATTGTTCACCTGTTAAAAATCTTAGCCATTAAGGGCTATAAGGTCTTGAAGGAAAGACTGCAATTTGTCCAAACTCATGTTTGATATCTAGGACATTTAATCTCAGAACGGAGACTACACCTAGATCCCGATAGGCTTCAAGGCATTTTAAACTCTCCAAACCCCCAAACCAAATGTCAGTTACGGGGTTTTCTTGGGCTAGCTGGTTATTGTTGCAACTGGGTTCCAAACTTCTCTTTAATGATTCTGCCCCCCATATGCTCCCTTTTGTTGTTGGCCGTGCCACACGGCACGTGGGATCTTAGTTCCCCGACCAGGGATTGAACTCGGGCCCCCTGCAGTGGGAGCCTGGAGTCTTAACCACTGGACCACTGGGGAAGTCACCCTATATGCCTTTATAAAGAACAGCAAACCTGACCTCATTGTTTGGGATGACCAAGATCGTTTAGCCTTTGAAGGAAAGTTTAATAAATCCACCGACCCTTGAATACCCAAATTATCAGCTACCCTTTTCCTTATTGTATATGAGAAGGAAGGGAATGCCCTCGGGATATTTACCCCAAAATATGGGGCTATCACTGACCCCTGGGTTACTACACCCAACGGTTAGATCCCTGGCCTGAGCATATGGCATGGCTTAGAGCTATGCCTGCTGCTGTCCTCTTAGTAAAGGCTACCATCTTTGCACCTCACACCGTTGAGGCTCTCTTGAGTTCACACCACACTCAACACCTTTCAGCAAGCCATTTTACCCCTTTGAAATCTTCTTACTCGCTGTGCCCGCATCACTCCCATTCAGTGTAACAGCCTCAACCCTGCAACCTATCTTCCCTCCTCCACTGAT